AATTTTTAATTAATTTATTGTTTTTGTTAAATTAATTTCATTTCATATTTTATATTTATCTTCATTTAATTTTTTGTTTAAGAAATGAACTAAAATGCTGCGGAATGTTAAGCCATAGACATAGCCAACGCCTACCAAATAGAGAGAGAGCGTCTATGCGTAAATACAATGTAAAAGTGAGTGTATTGCCTGTGCACATTAATAAACATTTTAAGGTGTAGTCTACCTACCAATTAACAAGTTAACTCCCTCCGTGAGGTCCTTATCGTAGAGCGTAACCAGCTTCCTGCCATCGACCACCAGAGGCGTTATATCCAGTAGTACGCCCTCGGTGACATCGCAATGCTCGTGCCCGGAACGAGTTACCTGATAGACCTGAGCAGCATGCGCGGCGCTTTGGCTGATTCGCCCGAGATGATGAGATGAGGCAGCACAACGTTCAGGCAATGTAGTGGAAATGGGATAAAGAGAAAGAGAACAATATGAAGACTGAGAGGGATAGAAAGAGAGCGCCCGAGTGTTGGTTGCTGTAAGTTAAAGCTACAAATATGGCTGGGTTCCCAAGCATTTTGTGTTGTCTCATTGCACTGTGTACTTAATTAATTGATATTATTTATAAGCATTGCTGCCCACTTTGTTGTCGGAAATTAAATAGCACAAGCGGAAATTAAATTAGCACGCAATTACTAGTAGATACTAGTAGACACAAAAAAATTATTAATTTATTCCAGAGTAAACAAATAGAAATACGAATGCAAATTTAGTAGACCATTGAATTAAATGGAAATAAATAATATTTTCCTTAAGAGAGCATGTTTAATATTTAAATATTTGATTTATTCATGGATTGGTGAATACAAAAATATATAAAAATTCTTATGTCTCATTTTAAAAATATAAATCACTGTATTATTTATATTTTTAAAATCATGAATTAATTGAGAAAAAAATAAATACAAATAAAATCAAATATATAGCAGTTTCTTTCAATGCGTATTTAAAATAAAAATATATAAATAAATAAATTAAAGAATATTTTATTTGTAATATTCATCCATATTTGTAATAATAAACACATGCAACACAGCATATTGATTTGCATAAAGAAACAAAGAAATGATAATCAAACTAAAAGATTTTTTTTTTTCAGATAAAAAGAAAAAATTAATAAAAAGATAATTTTATTTTTTATTTATTGACCATTTCCCAATCAACACTTTGGGCAGACAATGCAGATAGACAATTAAGGAAATATTAATTTGCAAATCAAACAAACAATTTTCTCAATGACTTTGTAAATTTCAATCCAGTATTATTCTTATATTATTAAGATTTCCGCATCAGCGTAGTCAAGGGAATGCAACGTTTAAAGTATTTTGTAACAATTTCATGTGATATTATCGACAGGAGCGAAGTGCAAAGTCAGAGCTCAAAGAAAGTTTTCACTTTCAACGCAACGCAATCTATTTGAGACTCACTTGCGTTGCGTTCAGAATATGATTTGTTGCCAATTTGTTGTTGGCTGGGGTCCTTTTCGTCCTTAAAGCACAGAAACAAACAAACAAACACACGCACACACACACACATAAACGCACATGCATGAAATCAATAATAAAAACTTTTTTGACATCTCATTTTCATAATTTGTAACTTTTTTTATGCGAGCTGCGTTTTTTGTTTTATTTCCATCATCTTCATCTGCTTCTTCTTCATCTTCATCTTCTGCTTCATTTTTGATGGCCATAACTTTTTAAATTTTCACACAATAAGCAATGCTTGGGATATATTGTCAGCAGATGGATAATACAGAAAAGTTGACTTTGAAGCACCATCAGAAGTTACAATGAAATTTAAATTTAATTTTAAAACTTGTATATCAAGTATAACAATAGAGTTTTTTTTTTTTTATTAGAAAGCATTGCAAAGTAAATGAGTAACAGAAGTGATACTACTTTTAATAACCATATTTCAGCAGCTAAATAAGTTATTGTTGAAATAGAGTTATAGAAATATTTGATAAGGTTTGTATTTGTATATATTGTGGCTGTCAGATAATAATATTATATCCTGAAGGGGATTATATAGTTCTGAAAACTCAACAGCTGCATTTAAGAAAAGCTTGAGAAGTTACCTCGACATTCTGCTGTAAAACCCATCCAGCAAAGTTAAAGGAGCTAAGTAAATGCCACTTCATTAGCATGTTCATACGTAATCTCATGTATGAAGTTTAGTCGGAAACAACGTAATGTCGCCCACTATTTATTTACTAGAATTCATTTGTTCGCATTAGGAAACTCAACTTTAATCCCAACTAGTTCAGAGTACCACAGAAAATGTATAAAAATACATATATATCATATCATGAACCTGCTTAAAGCAGACTTTGCTAGTTGTTGCAAAGAGTATCAGATAAAAATATATACATATATATGTAGATAAAAAAAGTGCTGGCAATGGCTACGTGATAATTGCCACAGCTCTTTAGGGCAAAAGGGTCAGCTGCTTCTTCATTTTTTATCTGACTGTGAATAAACGGAATTTGTGACCCGCAAAATGACTAATGGCCAGCGGAAAGAATCGCGAACTAGAAAAGCGCCCGCTCGGCATAAATATGCGCATTTTGTAAGAGATTTTACCAGCTATAAAATAAACAAAAATAGCAATATACGGATATATACATACATACATATACATGAAAACATGGTAAGCAAGCCCGAAATACGTGATGTACGTATGTATATCAAAATATATATATACATATATTTATGTAAAGCTTATATACTTGCATGTATATAATACATTTATATGAGAGAATGTGGGAAAAATAAAAACAATTTAATAAACTGTAAAAAGGGCATTCCGATGGCAGTACGTGAGTCACATGAAATAGTGACCTGTGCATAGCTCGAAGGGGTTTCCAGGATTTGACTCAACTAAACATGTAGTGCGCCCTTGTGCAAACGTGCTGAAGTAAAATCAATAAAAAGCTCCTAATGTATGTGATTATATATTAAGCAGAACAGAACTGAACAGAACTGAACAGAGCCGAACCGAAACGAACCGAACTGAACAAACACGTCCTAACCAGCAGAAAAGTGCCTTAAATGGAGATGAAACTGGGCCCGCAGTAGATTCCTATCAATTTTAAAGGTCATGCTTGAAAGTGGAGCTCAACCGTAATTTCACTGAGAGCGAAATTTCCTTTTTTTGTTTTCTTATAAGAAATTTGGCTTACGGGCATTGCGCCGTCTGCTGCAGCAGCATTATACATATATATACCATATACATACATATATATATAAAGAAAGCATTTCACTCAATAGCTGTGGGCTACTGCGAAGCTGTTGGAACCATAACTTAATAAACTAGGAACGTATTCAAGAGATGAGCTTACCGCATTTTCTCTTTATGTCGCTGCGAGAGGCTTAAAGTTCGTAACATATTTTCACAATTGCGAGATAATATGAGCGAGCAACTCCCACAACAAACTATCCGCAATTACTCAATCTTTTTATCGGCTCGGATTCGCACAAAGCAAATTAAGAGCTTAAAAATGAAGTAAGCTGATTGCAATCGAACGCAACCAACTGCGTAATACTCGTTCACGGTTCAGTAATCGCCAAAATTTATTAAAATATTCATTTGCTCCCCCCAAATTTGCTGTGAGCCTTGCAGAAAATTCTTGGAATTCAGCCAGACGTATTAAAAAATATTACCCAATTTGACGAAGGACTAGACCCAGTCCTAGACCTAGATCAGATCAGCCCTGGCTTATGCGAGACCAGCCTGGCTTTATGCCTGGCTTAATGAAGTTATAATGAAATGAAATGAAATCTTTTGCATAGACAAAAAAAATCTGTTCACTTCCGAGTATTATTCGCATTTACTCCACTCTCTGGTACATGAAATTTACCTTTTAATGCTATCCTGCGCTCCTTCCGTGCTCAGCTTGGCATCGTTGATTTCCACAATTAAAATGTCCCCGGATTGAATATCAGCTTCGCCCTCCCACGTCAGCTTATTAGGAGTGCAGGGTTCGTCGGGTTCGCAGTGCTGCGGCGTCTGGAAGAGAAGAATTATGAAATAATTTTTGGCATAAGTTAAGGCTTAAAATAAAAGCCGCAAATGTGTTTTTCCTGTAAAAATAAACAGTCAAAAGGGACTAAAAGGTTTGCCTTTTTGGGCAATGCCGCAAAGTATGTCAAGCTCACAAAAAAAAAAAAACAAAAACCAAAGCAAGCTGAAAAAAAGAGTAGCGCAAAATAAACCCAAACTTGTTTAACTGAATAATTTAATAATTTAAGTTCTTGTCGCAATTCCCTTTTACATCGCCTAGCCCAGAATATTTGCATATTGACTCATCCAACCCTAGGCCTAATAAACTTTGTCAAAGGTTCATTTATTCTACTGAGGATTTCAGCTTAAGTCAACCGTATGGTATACATATACATATGTATGTATGTATATACAAGCCACGTTTATAGCATAAGCCAGCTGCGTACACATACATAGATCCACTCACTGTATACAGTTTTTATTAGTTTGAGTTAATCCAAGCAAACAAACTGCAGTCTATAAGCAAAATAAAATTAGTTACAAGACAAATGGGACTGAGAGCAGAGAGACACATTTGGTGAACTAGGAGATATCCTGTAATAGCAAATATTCTTGTATATAGGAAGGATTCTTGTAAAGTCAACTACTCAATAAGAAGTGAACCCTATATAAAATATGTACTATATACATATTTTCTTATATGTATATACATGTAAAAGCAGCTCGACATTTCCTCTCAATTATATCTGTAGTAATTCGTATTTATTTTTACTCTCGCGCAGAAATAGCCTCAATGTCCCTTACATACACACGCTCATAGTCAATATGCCCTCTCAGCAACATTTACAGGATAACAATTGCGGTTTGTGGTTGTCGAAAAGGGTCACGTCTGAAATATTGTGTTCATTTAGTTCAGTTACTTTTTATTTAAAATGCGTCCCAAGGAATTTCTCTGTGTTAAAATTCGAAGCATTTTAATAGCACGCTTCGTCTACAAATATTTTATAAATATTTTTATTTACATACTTTTTTGTTATCCCGTATGAAAACTATGAAAGTAAATGTTACACTTTTACTTTAATGGAAATGCCACAAGGCTGTTAACAAAAATTCAATTACTTTTACACATATCCAATTGGGAGTTGAGAGTGTTTGACTAGGCACTACTACAGCTACTGACTAGATATATCTGACTACAAAAAAGAATACAGATAAACAAAAATACAATTTTTCATATTCATTTTATGGAACTGGATATGCATAGTTAAAGAATTTTATACAAATGAATGCAAATTGAAGCTGCGAATGATACGACAGGAGATTTTACATAAATGTTTACACCAATTTAACCAAAATAATCCATTTTGAGCGATATACAACATAAAATAAATTACAAAATGTTTCAGCGATTTAGGCCAATCAATCCTCCAGGCTTAAAAAAAAAAAAGATGGTAAGCCGATTACCTGTTATTTTTTTGTGGTTGCACTTACATAACTCTAAATGCGGATAAAGGAAGCAGCAAAATGCATTGCAAACAGTTTACCTTCAAAAAAAAAAACTATAATAGTAGCAACAACAGCAACAATAGCAGGTTAGTGTAATCCAATCGGGCGTAACAATCAAACGATATGAGCAACAAAACCGTTTGCCAATGGGATAGTCACTCACTCAGACAGAAAATAAGCCAACACATTTGACATTCTCAAATGAACCCAACAAATTTAATGCTATGGAAAGTTATCCAGTCAGCGCCAGCAGCGGCATCAATGCGAGCTAGGGCTTACTAAGATAACTTATTGATTATTTGGCTACACATCTGTTACGCGGAAGGAAGCTTAACGGATATACTGAGGGAAGGAAGCTGACGAAAAACTTGCCTGAATATGTGATAAAAGTGGGCTTTTGACAAACAAAATAATGTTGTTTCATTATCATATATTAGGTCACATTTGCTAAAACTAAAGAAACATATAGGCGCAAATAGTTTGAACGACTCGACAATACTCTGTTTTCAGTCAGAGAGATATTCTGTGGCAAAAGCTAGGAAAACATATTGCCTCAAACCAATATACTCCTCTTGCATTCGCCATGCAGTGTATCGAAAAGGGCCTGCTATGTTCAGCGCCAGCCCGCTTTGCATTTCCCTTTTTTATATGCTCGTAAATCAAGTCATTTGCTATGACACACACACTAACATGGCCCAGTCCTGCCCAGTCAGGACTTTCAACAGCAAAACACTCATTCGCCTGTCCCTGGACAACAATTTAAATATATGTATACAAATACATATATTTTTTTGAATTCTTTTAACTCGTTTTCTTATTTCTTAGAGCTATCCTCCAGCTGCCATTTATCCAATGTTAAATTGTTTTCTATCTCCATCTCTGACGCAGTCACTGTCTCTATCTCTGTCCGTCTTTGTCTCTTTATTGGCTTTTGTGAGTGTCCACAGGGAGGTTTCATTACCATTAATCGTTTGTTCATTTATTTCAGTTTCTTTATAGTTTATTTTCTCGTTTAATTCAGGCCAATAACGTTGCACAAAATTGATTTTATGTTCACCTCTCCGTCTCCCAATAAAAGAAAACCCGAGGGGAGCACGAGAAATTACGCTTTAATAGCTTATCAATGGATTGATAAGAATTTTATTGCATTATAAAACACACACAAAAAATTGAAATTTTTCCAAGAGAATTTTTGTTAAAGGTGAACATCATTCAAATTGAGATAAACTGAAGTTTGCTTAAAGGTGATATGTATATAAAATATATAAAAATATATGATAAACAAATAAAATATATAGCCTCAAAGCAGTTGAATGGGAAAAAACAATTTGCCTTTATTATTATTATTATTTATTTATTTATTTTTATTTTTTTATTTTTTTTTTTTTTGTCAATTTAAATAAGTATACTTTGCAGAACTTGAAGGATTTTTAAAAATAATTTCCAGCTTATATTTGCATTTTTATTGTATTATATGACTGAAAGTCAGACCTTTAGTACTATATCAACTCATGCCCTATAAAATTGTACTTAGATACTGTACACACGTATAAATATATATATATTGTTATAAATATTTATATAAATTTATATGTTACATATCCATAAAAGATATATACATAAATATAGGTGTATGCAGTGCTGTACGGGCCGCGTGATGTAAAGTTAAAAAAATCGTAAAAACATTTTTTATATGTTTATTTATTATTTTGCGCACTTTTACTTAGTACTCGTGTATCTGGCTGCCAGCACACACACACATGCAAACACTTGCTGCTACAGCCAAGTGAAGGCTATGCTGATAGATTTACGAGCAGACAAGAGAACTTGGCAATTCGAGCTGTTTATAGCGACGAAGGTGCCAAATGCTGTTATATAAGCACAGTTACACAATATTTGAATCTTCTTTTCATCTGCTGGTGACACAGTGAAAACATAAAATTTCCTTTCTTTTATCATTATTGTTATTTATATATTATATATCCTCCTATGGCAGAGTCTAGACTCTGCCAAGAGCAGTCATGAGAAAACATTCAAATAGTTTAAGCCTTTAAGGACAGCTGATTTTCTGGTGATCTCCTCTCTGGATCAACTCATGCAATTACGCTGCTTTCCAATTTGCCGTCTAAGAGTCACTAATCCAAACTTAAAAGAAAACTTTTACCAAGCCCTTAATTACACCTTCAATAGAGAGTACAGAGCGAGTGAAAGCAACCTAATGCTAAGCTTTTGCTTGCTGGGTGGGGCTTGGCAAGGGTTTGCAGCAGAGCACCTTGAATCTTAAGTTGACCTTTTCAGTCATTAAAAGAAAAAGGAAAATAAAGGTATGCTAGCTATTCAAAAAAGAAAACATTCATTGCTGGTGAAAAAAAAAAAAAATGGAATTACAAATGAACAAATAAATTTCGGGTCAGAATTTTTAAGCACCTTTTGTAAAATTAATTGAATACAAATGGAATTTTTTATTTGACTTTTCAAAGGGTTTTACGATACAAGACAAATATATGTATATATCATTTAAATTGGCAATGAAAGACATTGGCAGAGGCATCAGCAAATAGTAATAGTACAACTTTAATATAGAGTTTTATAAAAATTCTAAGACAGTAGCTTAAATATTACCTAATGAAACATTTATATTTAGTTTCTAAATATTTTTCAAATTATATTTATTTTTAATCTTATATATTTTTATATTTTTAAATTTGTATATTTTAATATGTGAATAACTAATATAGTTGTTCTGAATATCTATCTTGTTAATTATATTACATAGTGAGCATCCTCTTCGAACTAGTTCACATTCGACTTGATTCGATTCGATTCGAGTTGACTCGACTCGATTCGATTAGAGTCTTCAGCCTCTATTAGCCTGGCCGCCTAATCGTAGCGTTTCCCACACACTGAATACAAATTACTATTTAATGGCTTCATTATGTTAATCCCCAATGAACTAATTGTTGAGACACTGCAGAAGATAACTAAATGAACTGGCGTATGTGTGGTTCTTGAAGTGAACTGAATTGTATTATCTATATTGAGCCGCAGTTTTTACTCATAATACGTCTTTGTGGTTGCTAATGCTAAGAGCTAAATACGTTTCAATTGTTTTCGAGAAACAATATACAAAGCCTTAAAGCCTTATATCTCTTAATCTCTAGCTGTCTCACTTGCTCCCACCAGCAGAGCCACCCCACTCCCTCTCCCACTCCCTATCTGTCTTGTTGTATATAGATTTTTGTTGTTGTTGCTGTCGGAACTTACCACATTTGGCAGGAGAAGCTCGTGCGTTTCGTTTCCACGCCACAAATGCGAATCCTGCGGCACATTTTGTATGTCACATTCAAGTGAATTGATTTTCTCCTGGAGGCGACTTAAAATGCGCGGCACAGCGATTGGCTTTAAGGACGATTTTGTAAGATTAGCCAACTGGCTTGATTTTTCCATGTCAGCTGGACTCTGCTTGGCGGCCGTTGTTGTAATTTTGATTTTCGCTGAGACCACTTCAAGCTTTTCCGATTGCGGTTCGACGGCATCGGGCGGGGTTAAAGTCTTCAACAATAACTTGGCGCGTTTTAGCTCCGGCCCCGCCCTAATGGGTCTCATAGTAGACAATTTACTTGCTGTCGTTGCTGTTGCTGTTGTTGTTGTTGCTGTTGCCGCCTCTGCTGTGGCCCCATCAAAAGTTTGCGCCGTAGACGTCAAAGTCACGCGTCTGCCAGGAGGCAGGGCCTGGGTAGTAGTCACTGTAGACTCCGTTGAGCTGCTTAGTTCCAAGTTTGTGGTTTCGCTTGGTCTAATGACTTGACGTGGCTGCTGCTCTGAACTTTGTCCGACCATGGTCTCTGATGACTTTATAATGCTGCTCGCTGTCTCGATTGGAGCTGCTGTCGCATACCCAATTTCTTTCATTAACTTTCGTTTATTATGCAACAACATTTCGTTGTACAACTCTTTACTGTTGTAAAACTTTGTGGTCGAGAACTCGGGATGTGTGGGCCCGCCGGCAGCGGCTGCTCCAGCTACAGTTCGAGCTCCCGCCCCAACTCCTGCCGCTCCTCCGGCCGTTGTTAGCCTGACCTGTCGGCCGTCATTCGCATCCGTATTGAACTTCGTATTGGCAAAGTCAATGTGCGGCAGGGCCATCACATCGCTGGCCCGTTGTTGCTGCATTGGAAATTCGAAGCTCTTCTTGACGCGCCGATCTATGTACGTATCCCCCGGCTGCAGTTGAGGCAGCTCTGTCCGTCGGGTGCTGCTGGTGCTTGTCGGTGCCGTAGTTGTTGTTGTTTCCTCTAATTGAAACTTTCGCTCGATTTCGGTTATCAAATCATCCTGTTCGGCCAGGAGTTTGCCGGTGAAATAGCTCGACGTGGTGGCCACACTGGGAGTCGTTGCCGTCTTCATTGTTGTTGCCGGAAGGTAGCTGGAGCCATAGTCAGCCACCTCGTTGGGCATTAGATTCTGCCGATACTGTTCCACATTCTCCGGCTCTCTGAACACCGTACGCTCCTTGGACACCTCTACATTATCAGTGGGTACTCTAGGCTGAAAGTCCTCCAGCTGCACCGGATACAGATCCACAATATTTAGCTTACTTTGGCTCACTGGCTGTTGGGCCAACAGAGCGCCGTAACGGGAACGCTCCTCCTCATTGAGATCGGCTAGCGTTTCGGCCACCTGATACGCCTCAGCTGCCTGCATTTGCATATCCAGCGGCGTAGCCGATGAGCTGATATCAGAGCTCTCCTTAATGCGATACAGCCTGTCGAAAATGCTGCCCAGCGATGCAAGCGGCGGCACGTTTGTCGTCATTAGCCCATCCGCCGCAGTGGCGGCTGTCGTTTCCGTTGTCGAGATTTCTTTGCCAGCCTTTGCATACCCGTCCATGGTCGTGGTTGCAGCCTCAAAATTGCTGATTTGTCTGCCTGCTTCATTTCCGTTTGAAATGGATGTTGCTGGTGTTGCTGATGTTGCTGTTGCAGCTGTAGTTGGTGCTGCTGCTGCTGCTGCAGTTGCTGTTGCGGCCTCCGCTGCTGCTGCTGCTGCTGCTGCTGCTGCTGTCGTCGTGGTGGGCATGGCCGTTGACGTCGTGGTTGAGGTGGCCAAAGCACCCACAATTCCAATTTGTATTTCCGATAAAGTTTTCGCTGCTCCTTCGTTTCGATCCATAGCTGAAGAGCTGACCACATTGGTGCCGTGGCTGCTGTGCGAGTCATTTGTTATGGTTAAAGTTGCTGTTGCTGTTGGGGTTGGTGTTGCTGCTGTTGGTGTTGGTGTTGTTATTACTGGTGGCGTGGCCGTGGGCGTTGCTGTTGCAGTTTCCCAAACGGCGCAAACAAATACAAATGTTAAGATGCACATTTTTGCTGTTTTCATTAGCATTTTACAAAAAATATTCTTCCGTCTTGTGGCTCTGGATATTAAGTTGTATTCCGTTTTCCTTTAGCTGCTTGCAGTTTCCGAACTACATCTGCGATTGCTACGCAAATGAAGAAAAGTAAATGAATAAATATTGAATTAATTATTGGGTTTTATAAAATT